AACTTTCAACTCGGGAACCACAAAAGCTAGGAAGCTGAAAATTTAGGGTAACGTTCTCCACCCACGCGGGACCTCGCAAATTTAAATTCAGCTTCCCCGTACCCGCGGGTAACGCGTACGGCCCTGTGAAAGTTTTTTATGGTTAAGTTAGTATCTCGGGAACCACGGAGTATTAGGGTAATGACCCACTGCCCATGCTCAATCTTGTCCATTCAAAATCAGTCTCCCTTTACCCGCGAGTAACACCTACGGCCCCGTGAAAGTTATTCACGGGTAAGTCAGTATCTCGGGAATCACGGAGTCTAGGAGGCTGAAGTTTTAGAGTAATAACCCCCTGCCCACCCTCAACCCTGCCCATTCAAATTCAGCTTTCCCTTACCCGCGGGTAAATACATACGGCCCCGTGAAATTTTTTCACGGGTAAGTCACGGGTAATTTAATATCTCGGGAACCTGAGTCTAGGAGGCTGAAGTTTTAGGGTAATGACCCCCTGCCCACCCTCAACCTTGCCCATTCAAATTCAGCGTTCTCGCGCTCTCGGTTGCCACCTACGGCTTCGTGAAAATTTTGGCGGGTAAACTATTAACTCGGGAATCACGGAGAGATATTCACCCTTCAAGGTTTCGAATTCATCTTTCATGCGCTGGCGCGTGAAATTTTTAACTGTTTTCCAAAGTTTGAACTATTTCTGCATAAAGTACAAAGCAGTGAAAATCATTAACACGCAATCGTTTGATGGGCTGAATTGCATAAAACGCATGACCGCACCGGCTAGTCTGGTGCGCGTTGCCATTTATTTTCTTCTTTAACGGATACAGATATTAAACGAGAAAAACGCCAGATTAATCTTGCACTGGTTAATATTTAATGCTGCGTATTAGGTCCACGCAACCCTTTTCAGGGTGTAGAAATCAGTTAAATGCAAAGTTTGATTTGGAAATAAACCTAAAGCATAAACCATATGCAAGCGAAATAATAGTTTAGATAAGATTAAGACGTTTCGACTCATTATGCATACTTCTTAATTCAGCTCTACAACTGGCCCTCGTCAGCACGACGGTTCTGGCATAAATTATTATCATAATTAAAATTGAGAGAAGCACATCGACGTTTTCTGGGGCACCTACTTTAAGCTGTTTGGATTGTACGTGGGCTAGGAACATCCTTGTGAAGTTTCAGCTTTCCAGCTTCTGCTGTTGCTGAGTTGAATGTGCGTGACATAGTCAGTCCGAAAAAAACGGATCCGACGAAGTCCGGGGAAGAATACTTTTTTCGAAGCATACATTCTGCTATTGAAGGCTGAAATTTCATGCGTGGGAGTCTAAGGTGGAGCAGGGACTGTTAAAATATCATGTCCATGGCAATGCCAAGCTCCGATTTCTTTGCTTTCGCAGGTGAAAAATCTCAATTTTCTCATTCATTCATTTTGAACGGGGGTGCATAGCTGCTGCTAGAGCCGTTAGCTGACACACACACACACACACACCTAGCAAAAATTCTCGTTTTCTCCAATAGCATTCTTTCGTGTTTGCATTTTACGCTGTATGTATTGTGTCCGCCCAATCATATAGCGTAAACCTCCTCCCCCCCCCCTTCACCTCTCTCCTTCGCGGATGTTTCCGGTTACCGTCCAGCAATGGTATAAAGCAATCTCCGAAACAAATTTTAAACTATAAGGTACCTTCTTCGTAGTTTTTGAGTGATAACAAAAAAAACTCTAATAATGTTCAAAACACGCCAAAATACTAAAGCCTTGCCAGTTGCTTCTGTTGGAAAAGCGACTGGACTGACAGGGGACGAAACGAACGTCAGGATCGCCAGCAGGTTGACTGCCAGACGATGCAGCACTGGACAAAGCAAATGAACAAATGTGAACGAAGAAGCACATTATAAATTAATCATAGGCGGACCCAGGACAGACTTCTGGAGGGGGTGGGGCGAAAGGGAGTGCGAGGGAGAGGGGAACCCACTCCCATCCTGGAAGTGTGCAAAAACTAGGAATAGAGTTGTAACACTGCTACTTACTTTAGCTTTGTTTATGAACGGACCCGAGCTTTTGCAGTACTGGTACCTGTAGCACGGGAGGGGGGAGGGGGGGACGGGAG